TAAATTAAATTAAATTAATATTTTTAAATACTATTTAAAAATTAAAATTAAAATTTTGGTAGCGTGAACAATTTGCATGGTGTTAATTACCACGCCTCAAATCCTTTTGCACAGTTTTTGCAACTTAACAAAACGTTACTAAAAGAAGTGGCACTTATTTGATGACGTGGCATCTCATTTGGCCGCGACTCATTTCTATCACTCAAAAGGTAAGGCCTCCCTTTCGCTCTCTCTGCTCTTCTCCTTCCTTCGAAGTCTCTTCCCCGTTCGCGATAGCAGGAAATAACCCTAGCACAAAAATTCTCCAAATTTCTTTAAAATTAAAGAATAAAATTGCATAAACTGACTTTCAATTAGTATTTATATATGATTTTAGGTTCAGAATGGAGGGTAATACTTTGAGTTTCAATCTGGTGGGTGCTTTTGGGGGCGTTTCTGTGCCAACAAGCTAATCTTCATCCTTCTTCAAAGGTGATGGCAGACCCATCATAATGCGTTCCAGAACGACTAGCGTTTCGTTTCCGCACAAGTCGCCGTTCCCTTTGATCATTGAATCGGCGCATAAGAAGGCAGACGGGAGTACCAATAACGGTCGCGATTCTAGAGGCCAACGCCTCGGCGTCAAGAAGGGATGAATTGCTCGATGAACGGTGGGATTTAACCGTCGTAGGTTCGTTCCAATTTAGCCACAATCAATAAAGATAAAAAAATAGTCAACTAAAGTACAAATGGTTTGGTATTAACATTATAATAAGGCGCGGCTAATTAACTCCATCCGCGGGATTGGGTTTTTTATTTTTATTTTTATGTTTTTAACGTATGTTAATGTTTTTTTTTTTTATTAACTTATCGATATTTGATAATCACATTGAATTTTGATTAATTTAAAATCAAGTTACGTCAGATTACATTAAGGGAAAAACTTTCTCTGAAACACCCTATATACTTTAAGGAATAAATTAAAAATTAGAGTAATTTATTTAACATTTTAAGGACTAAATTGATTAGAATTGAAATATGTGGACTTTATGTGAAATTATGAGATAATTAGAGATTGTTTAACTAAATTTGTCAAATTTAAAACGTGACAATTTATGAACCAAGTCACCGAAGGTTTCTCTATAAGACTTTAAGAAGTCAAATCCTTTTTTCTTTTGAACTTATACTCTTGAAACCCATTTTCTCTGCATCTTTCTTTTTCTAGTGGTCCCCAGCCTCTTTCTCCCTTCTTTTTCCAGCCAAGATTAACGTGTAGGGCACCCTCTCAAGTTGAAATCCCTTCAATTTCGGCAATTGTCTTCAACTTGGTGCTTTGATTTCCAAGTAAGTATAAGTTTTGGTTATGAATTTGGGGTTAGAATTTTGAGTAGTTTAAATTGATGAGATTTGACCCAAATCCTTTGGTTTGTAAGATTTTTGGACATTAAAATTTAATTAGAAATATCTTTAATTTTTGGAGCTTGTACGGGGTGGATAATAAGTTTTTTCCCTTTTCCATACTTGGTTTGGTGTGGATTTTATTGATTAGTACTCATGTTATTGCTTGTATGCCTTGTGTGATTAAGTTAGAATTTATATAATCAATTGGTCTTTGAAACTGTGCGTGAGCTTGGAAGCAGATTGCTACTTTTAATA